AGCATAATTTCAAAATTTGCGTCGATGTAAAGAAATCTGTTGCCCATTATGACCCTAATAATTATCAGTTTCGTTTGCGGCACGCACAGTAAGTCTACGATAAGACACACTTGTGCAGGTCGTTAACTCTTGAAGTCTTTGAAGAGGATTAGACAAAGATTTACGCTATAGTTGCGGCCTTTTTAAGCATATCTACCGCCTGCATGCATGTGAAGCCATGTGAAGACATATAAGTTTTGATAATGTTTCTGAGAGGATTCTTTATTCTCTGTTTAAGGTTTCCATCCATGTGTCACAAAGCCATTTGCCGACTCAAATGTATATCTATCAATCATTTTAAAAAGCATGCAGGCATTTATGGCTGTCCCCTGAACCAATTGATGACGTCTTAAAAACTTCTAACATAGAAAGCGTCCGAACACAACAGAGAATCCGATAAATTCGTATGTTGTTTGATGACGGAACCAGGAATTAGGTGATTACATGATTTTTCTAAACAAATTTTTTGCAAACGTTATCATATTATGCTATAAATCAGAATTTGATTGATTTCCGATTAAATAAGAAAAATTCGATTGCTTCTATCGCGATATTATCAACAGCTGCACGTCACTAGCTTTTTTATTGACTTTAATTCAGTAACAAATTCCACTGGCGTCACCACTCAGTGATTCACTTGAGAAACCACAGATAGCCCAAGCTATGTTTTTGTTGAGGTTTACAAGTTTAGAATATGGATTATAGTTTAAAAATAAAATTCTTTCAGCCGTCCATCCCTCGCGAGAGAATTTAAGAGTGTTTCGAAGCTAATTATGCTCAATAAAAAAAAGACTATTTGCATTTAGTTTTGTTTGTTTGTTTGTTTGTTCGTTTGTTTTTGTTTGTTCGTTTGTTTGTTTGTTTGTTCGTTTTTATGTTCGATTGTTCGTTTATTTGTTTTTGAATGTGTTGTTACAGCTCCTTCAACTGCTGTTCTTCATTTGTTGTTAATTGATAAGGTTGCTGTTATCAGTAGCACCTACAAATCAGATAGGTGATATCGACAATTACGTGTGTAACATAGTCCGTGGACACACCCATGCAAACTTATTATTGCAACGGCTCAGATCTAATTTATTGTTAGATTATTGAAAATTGCTTTCACGATTTGTTTTGATGAACTATTTATTGAATCATCGCATTTAGCAAATATATATAAAGGATTTCGATATTGCAGATTAGATCGAATATGACTTCAAAATGAAGATGAGAAATTATTTTCAACTTTGTGAACAACCATCACTAGATTTGTCGTTTTATACCTTATCTTAGAACTCGGTGCTCGAATCTGGAACTAAGAGAAGCACTCACTCGGCTTGCCGTAGTATTCCTAAGCTTGGCCGGGCTTGCTTCTTTACATATTTCCACCATGATAATATCGTAGTGTAGATTCGTTATTTACGTTATCTCTTGACAAGTGGTAGATAAAAACTGAAGAATGGAAGAAAGCTTTTCAGTATTCCATGCCTTCAAATCTTTGACAAAAAAAGCTACGTTCGAACTTGTGGCCGGGGTAAACTTTAATACTTCTGGCTTGTTTAGTTTGGAAGTAATTCTTTGTCCATTTCAGATAGACCCACTAATCATTCCCTACAGCATTATATCTTTGTTTAACGGTTGAGCATGAGAACGTGAATAATGGATACAACTCAAAGAATCAAAGAATCTTATTTTCAGTATAATGTTGCGTGGTCTAAATTGGAAAAACATTACTTCCAAGGAAAAGAGGTGTATAGACTAACTATAGCCGAGAAGCCGGCAGTTGGTCTGTCTCACTATATCTCAACTTGAGGTCCACTTCTTCAGACTAAACTGTGGCACCAAGAAATGGATAGACATTTCAAAGTGGAATGTGTCTCAATCGAAGGTACTTCAATTGCATTAGCACGAGTTAGGCAGTTTGACTCGAATAAGTTATTTTTGTCGTTACTATTAAAAATCCGATTGAGAGGAAGTGAAAACTGGCAAAGGAAAGATTTTGGCCCCTTAGAATGCCTAAGAAGTACTTGAAGTATTAGCCGCACCGTAGGATTGAGGTAAATAAGCTCACTAAAAATATAGCAAAAATGACAACGGGAGTTCTTCCTACCGCTGGCCTCGAGATTAGAGAAAATTGTGGGATTTTTTTATATTTTTATTCTTATATATATATATATTATTTATTAACAATCATAATTACACAAGCAATACAAATAATAACAAATGATACTTAACAAATGGTGCTACGGGCTTACTTGTAATTCAGCTAATAGTTACTGAAGATTTTGATATTTAAAATTGAAAGAACATTGTGGGATCAAGATTATGCATTACGTCATTCCTGCAATAGTTACRCATCTACCAAAGCTCGCGCCTTTTTTCCATGGACTTTTCTAGGCACGACTTTTTTTTTTCTCGCCCAAATAAATGCTTGGACAAGTGCCGAGTAAGTGCATTTCCGTGCTAGACACAAATATAGTGCCACAAACATCCTGCGATAAAAAGATGGCGGGGTTTTGATGTTATTTCGTTGGGTGTGTTCCCTAACCGGAACCACAGCAGTACTTGTGGCAAAAACTCCTTACAATACTTGTACAGAAAGGACGGCTTTAGATTTAGAAGGGTTTCAAATGAACCTATCTCAAAATCTACTAGGAAGGAGCCGTACATGTGGTCTGTATGTAACACAATATTCTTAGGAACCAATCTGCACGAGGAGAGTTTTGTAATGACAGCAGTCTTGCTCTGTGGTTTCCCGTTCATAAATTATCGTTGTATCTCGAGTGTTTGACTGATATTGTTGGTTCATCAGGCCGTACATCAAGGAGTGGAAAGGCAAAGATAGGCTATTCGTGGAATCCTAAGGCGTCAATAGAACATTCTTAAATGAGATAAAATTTTATCGTGACTTACTAAAATATGGGCCAATTAGTTTATAAACTGTTGATTTGTGATGACTTTCTTATCGCATTCAATGGCCAATGTACAAAATTTCATTAAAAAGGGAGGAAAATCCAATAAAAGTTCTGGGACTTTTATGATGGAAAATGGATCAGTAAAACAAAAAGTTCTTCTAGTGAAATTGGTCAGTCGTCGCATTGTCTGTCATAAATATCACTAGATCGCAGACTGTTTACTATACAAATGCATGGGGGGAAACCTGAACTTTATCACAGAAAAAGCAAAAGTCAGGATTATCAAAGCCTTCSAGATTTAAAGATAGCTCTCCAAAGTAAACTAATAAACCTGGATTTTGAGATAGGAATGACGGCGCTTAAAAATATTTGGTGACATACGATTACTAGTGGCCCGAATTTATTTATCCTTTTAATTGGAGCAGGCATTCATTTTTCGCTCAATACAGTGTAGAATTTTTTTTCTCTGGTTTATAATTCGTTTCTACTCGCTCCTTAATGTGAAGTTCTAGCAAAATGTTGGAGTAGGCCTGGGAAGAGTCTTGTCAATTTTCATTCTACTGGCTACAATTGCGATAACCCAGAACAAAACATTTAACGACTTGAAGGCGGTAATTGAGATTCGAGGATCATAAGGCCATAATGTACTAGTATTCCTAGCATGTCGTGGGAATAATAGCATCATAGAAGTTGAACAGATCCATATTTAGTCAAAGGTAAAGTAGCTGATGACGTTGTACGATACGAGAACCACTCGAGTCTGAACGGCAATGTAAACACGCCGTCACGACTGCTTTCCTACGTTCTTTAAAATCCTGGCAAGGTTTTCTGGTCCGGCTCTTTTGTTCTTATCTAATGTAAATGTCTTTTGACAGAACAATATGGCTATTTTAAACTTCAATGCACGGACGTTGATCGCGGTAGGGCGTATATTCCAGCTGTTGTTCTTGTAAAACGTAATGTAAACAACCTAGTATCCTAAGCATGGCTAAGACTGATAAACCTCTGCACAAGACTGCAGCTCATCGGATTATCAGCTACCATGGTGGTTGGTAGTAGGTAATCACTTTTTCACGTGGCAAATTAGTGGGCTCCCTTTTAATTATGCATCCTTGAACCACGACTTCTTGTGGCCTAGCGGTGTATTCTAAGCGGTTTTTACAAATACCAAGTGCAATCATCAAAGAACCTTTTGGTTTGAAACTTAGTTTCGTTTGGCGTAATTCCAGAAATTATACTTAGCATCATAATCGTAATGATGATTTTTTTGTCATAGCATAAATATCTTTATGTTTATAACCCTTGAACACGGTCGATGTTTCCAAATCTTTACCGAATGCGATGCTGATAGTTTTTTCCTATTTCAGTTTTCCCATTAGATTATACGTTGAGATCGTCTATCGATCAATTCAATCAAAATGCGATTTACGACTTACCCGAAAAAATTCAGATCAGAAGGATCAAAATACCTTTTGTATTATAAGAATCAAAGTGGATGGAACATTTGGCCCTCCCACGAACGAAAATCCTATTTTTACCAGTTATGACCATGCAGGCACATCCCATCACAGTAAAATCCCCAGATACGGGTTTTGTTTACAAAACTAATGAAGGGCCATGACATTATGGATAAAATTTCCAACTCTAAATGTGTTGAATGGGCATCGCTTAGCGTCAGCGTTGATATCTTGATAGGCAACTGAGTTTGGGCACGCATCATCATCGCGAATCATCATTGCATACGTTCGAAGACCTTTGCCATTTTCAGCAACCGCTTTATACAAGCGGACTGTCTCTAATCCAAATGTTGCGTGTGATAAATTACTTACACGGTTAGAAGTAACGATTCCAAATGGAATTATTCAAAGTAAGGAATTACGATTATGATAGTATCTGTCGGAGACGGGATCAACCCTCTGATGATACCCGTTTCCTGTTTTCTTTCCTTGCTTTGTTAAATGGGTCCAGCTGAGATGTTATCTGGAACATAAACAGGCATAGTTTTAATTAATAACACAGTTATGCTAGGAATGACTGTAAACCGTGCTCACATAGACAATAAGCAGGGCTGAGAGGCCAATGGTTATTAACTTGGCCACCACGGTGAGGTGACTCTTCATTTACGTTCTACCATTAAACCGTTAGGAGCACAGTTTGCATGCAGAGGGCCTAATTTTCGTACCTTGGTAAGGTCAAAAAGAGTTTAACTGCTTATATTTACGCACCACTATGAGACGTTTGGCCATTTTCATCGTTTTGTCCGCACTTGTGACGGGTAAGTAGGATGGTCGTGCTAAATTGTTGATAGACGACTCTTCATTTGAGTTCCAACAGGATTCCTTTCTGACTCTACGCTTTTCTTAGTTCGTGGTTTCTAATGTAACCTCACCTCCCAGCTTTACTTACAAGACGATCGTGATAGTCTAAAGTAACAATTTTGTTAACAGCAAAAGTGTGTCTGTCAAGTGACTCATTTAAATGGTAGAATGCGTGCGTGCCTCGCTAGACCTTGGATACTGAGGGAACAAGTTGTTGACATGATTGTATTCTTGCGTCTCCCTCTTGAAATACAGAAGACTTAGAACTTGAAATTTCCAATAAATTTTTGAGGGAGTTTACTTTAGGTTTTACATTTGTTTATTCAAAAGATGAGCTTAGACCTGCCCGATATCGTTTCACTCAATGTTTATGTGAATGTGGTCGCAGTTCAAGAAGAAGGTTTCCTTAGATTCATTTTAGGAAGAGTACTGTATGTAATGTAAAGCATTGATTATGAAGAAGATAACCAAATTCCACATTAGGAAATAAAAAGGAAACCAAAGTCGTCAAACAGAAAAACCACGCCATAATGACTCAATGACGTGCCTTAAGACTATAATCTTGAAAACGATAAATGCATTTGGCTGTTCATGGTCAAACCTTTGCGAATGAAAACAGCTTGCTTTATTAGAAATGACTCACACAAACGCACGATTATGGGACTGCATTCCTGTTCGGTATGATTTTCGATGTTTTAAAAGGTTTTTTTGTTGCCAGATTTTGATCCCACTTCGATCCTATCAGCTATATGATATGGCGCGTTCATATCTCATCTGTCTGACTTATTTGCATCGCTAGATTTAAAATGTTCATCTCATAATGGAACAGTTATTACCAAGTTGGCTTTAAAACTCGGTTTTTATTACAAATGGAGGTTAAGTGTTGTGCGGTCAAGAACCCGGCGCCGCGTGTCCTCCCAACTCACAGCAAGAACTCCATAACAAATGACGATGTGGTTATTAAACAATGAGATAATTCAGAAGTTCCTGTCGATTCTTCGTCGGAGTGTGTCACTTCTAACAACCTTTCTTTGAAGAAGTTCGAAACGTCTACTAATGATTGTCTTCGATAAGTGGAGCTGACCGCATTTACGTTCTTGTAAGGGCTCGGTTAGTTCTGTTTCTACTCTTGCCAGAGGCGATAAGTAAGCGAAAGCACCATTAGAGATGGCGAAACTAGCTCTCAATCAGTACTCGGTGATTGAAAGCAGGCGGCGACCATCCATTGATTTTGCTTCTTGGACATATGATATTCGTCAAAACAATTCAGTTATAATCTTTTCCAAGAATACATATATTACGATTGCTTGAGAAAAGCAATCAAAACTCATCACTTTTTAATTTGCAGAACAGGAGTGGGTCTTGAAATTGTTGTTAGGTTCGGTAATCTGTTGTGGTTTCAATATTGTTAGATGATTTTTGATGTTTTCGCAATGTCCTCCAGACATTGACTTAATTTTTCCTTCAGTCTAACATATCGCTTACATTCTGATGAATATATTTTGCTGTTATCAAAAAAACGCCTAAAACCTTTGGCCTTACCATATATACATATACATGTTAGCGTATATGTTAGTATATATGTATAAAGCTATGTTGTGACTTCTTTTTCCCATATACAAAAATACATTACCTTGTTTGAATACCTTTTTGTTCTCTCTAATTGTAATTATCAATCTTTTGCCAAAAAGTAACTTAATATTTTAAAAGATTACCTACTTCACCAGTTATTTTAATTACTATAAAGCGCAGCTTACAAAGCAAAATTAAGAAATGATTGAAGTAATCACTAGATCAGTCATCGGCAATTCGGACAAGATTTCTCAAAATATCATTATCAATGACAAATGTCGGAAAGCTGTGAAAGGTCCCAAATATCCCCTTCCCAACATGAAATCATGGTGATGTCTATGTAAGTAAGCAATATTTTGAAAGCACTTTTTTGTTTCTCTTCATTATCAATTTACAAATTTCGGAAAGACTCATGAGAAAGATTTTTTTTTTATTTATTTTTTTTAATTTTCCCCTAGAATATTAAAACATATGGTAATTTCTATGTAAGTAATATTTGATTTTTTTTTTTTTTTTTTTTTTTTTTTTTTTTTTTTGTTTTTTTGTGTGTTTGTGTCCTTCGGAATAGTTGCGTTTGCAAAGGCTGGAAAGCCATTTACAAATGTCAGAAAGATAATAAAGATTTTATTTTATTTTATTTCATTTTTATTTTTTATTTTTTTGCTAATTTTTCTCTCGAATATGAAACTAGACGGTAATTTGTATGTAAGTCAGCAACATTTTAAAGATTTTTATTTTTCATTTTTGTAATAGTTGCACTTACAAAGGCTGTGAAGCAAAAGAAAACACAAGATTGTAACAAACCGTGCGGAAGGCTGAATCATCCCGTCTGTGGCAGTGATGGGGCGACTTACGCCAGCAAATGCGAGTTCAGAAATGCAAAATGTGGTGCTAGTAAACTCGGGAAAAAATTGCTTCTACAACACGAAGGGGCGTGTGGAGCACCAAATAAAATGATCACAGTCTCAAATCTTAAGAAGACCACCAAGAGAAGAAATGTCAAGAGAAACAAGAAGAGTAGACGTTGTCCCACAACCTCCTCCATTTGCAAGACGCTCAATTCTACAAGAAATTCCATCTGCGGTAGCAACAACATAACGTACCACACTGTTTGTCACTTCAGAATTGCACAATGTCAAGAAAGAATGGCTGGGAAACGCTTGACTGCGCTGTACAGAGGCGTGTGTGGTAAACCTAGGAGCTCGAGGCGAATAGTATGTCCAGCGAAGACACAATGCCCTAACAGGAATAGTCCTATCTGTGGTTCTAATGGTGTCACCTACAAGAATCTTTGCTTTTACTTGGTTGCCAAGTGTGAATCACACGTACAAAGGGCTGGAAAAATCAGACTCCGATATCGAGGTAAATATCAATATTCGGTTTCTAACTAGCAAGGCATTTCAGAGAAGGTTTTTCGTCGGTTACTGTGCGAATGGGTACGTCAATGGCTAGCATTTTTGAGCTGAATTAACATTTAGGCTAAATTAAATCATCGTGTCAACTGACCTATTTTAGCATTCCCATCTCCTTTTGTTTAAATACTATTTCTCTTCAATCTAAACGAAATGAATGCCACACATTATAAGTATATATATCGATTCATCACGAAAAAAACGTTTTTCATAATGGATATGCAAATATGTTCTATATATTAGTTTTTGTGCGTCTCAGTATTTATGATTAGAGTAATAAGTACAAGCTGCTTGGTCACAAACGTCCTCACTTTCGAATATACTATAAATAGATATTGACAGCAACATTACAACGCTAATTAACGACCTCAACATAATTTCGCCTGATGGGCAGATTTCTAACAAAGAATTCCGCCATTCTGTGTTACTTCGCTTGATGCAAAGCCAAACCTCAAGTGACTTTCTGAAACTGGAGTTCTAAATTAGGTAAACCGCGTTAAAAAGCAATCGCTTAGTCAAAGTGGGATGAATATTGAAAGGTATAACATTTCCTCGTTCCGGGGCAACAGATCTAAAGTCGTCAGTTTGATTCGCTTCGATCCACCCCCCCCCCCCCCCCCCCAATAGTTTATTTAACCTTCTAATTAAAAACGAACAAACAAACAAGGACAACACATAATGACTACAAAAAACAAATGAACAGTAGAAGAAACAACCATCTTTAAGGTAATCCTGGTTTACTTGAAGTTTTATTTGTTTTATTACTTACACGCATTCCCGGCCATGCGACACGACTATATAAGGAGATGGGCAGTTCCAATTCTGAGGCTGTATTTTGATTCTTTACTTTTTTACTAGTTATTATACAGCTGCTTTCTATAAAATTGATGCTTGAAATCACCACTTTATAGTTTTCTAATTCGTTTCCCAAGCCTTCAAAAAGAAAGAAAAAAGAAAAAGTAAAATAAGAAAGAAAGTAAAGAAGAGAGTGAAAAAAAAAAGATAACGAAACAAAACAAATATACTCAATACTTGCATAAGGTTAGTTGTGCACACATAAATACATATTTACTAGGTTATAAATATTATATAAAATTATTAGTAATAAAATGAAAGAAGAAAATAGAAAATCGGGAATTACAGACGTGGATTAGTTAACAGAGTGTGCAATGGTGCTTAAAGTAGTTTAGACTTAATCATCACGAACAACTTGATTTCTCTCAAAAATTTTACCCAAGGAAGAACAATTTTCTTGCGCTTGTGCTCATGTTTGCGTTCGGGCTTGCGTCGCTAGTAAGAACGATCTTACACCTTTTTTTTCAGGATTGCGTGTCTTTCCCTCAAGAGTTATAATCGTTGATAAGCAACATTTTACAAGTTGCTGACAATAGAAGACATTATCTGTTATTGCTCTTTAGTGAATATTGGAAATGTTTGACAAATTATTTCGATAAATCTTGAAGATGTTAAACAGATTGCTTTCAGCTCTTCAGCTACTGGAATATTCTGCAAAAGCCGTTCATGTATATTATCTAATGTCTAATGTATAGGTCTGAGCACTTGACTGAGCTCAGATAAGAAGCATTATGATATGTCTTTCTTTATCTCTTCCTTGCAGTATTTGGAAGTTTTTTTTAAACATTTTACTTGAATGTTTTTCTTTCTTTCTTTCTTTCTTTCTTTCTTTTCTTTTTTTTTTTTTTTTATTTTTTTTCTTCCAAAAATCTTGACTTTATGAAAAAATGATAATGTCTGGGGATGAGGAAAGTAATTGGATTAAAAAAAAAAAACTCTTGCCGAATTGTTATTTAAAATTCTTTAAAATGCGTGATTTTTCTGAGAAAATAAGAATGTCTTGGAAAACAGATGTTAAATGAATCAATATTTGTGGTAGAAGTCGGTCATTTAAGACCTTTTAGTGATTGAGTGTACTAAATGAGAATGTATTGATCTGTGCTATGCTATCAACATGTAATTTCTGCACATGTTTCTTTAGGTCACGTTTCAAATCTTGACATTAAGACGTCTTGTTTAATTGAAACCGAGATAGCTATTCCGAGTTGATAAGCCTATAAACTGTCTTATATACAACTGCTTATAATTCCAACGCTTCCTAAAGACTCACATCAATTTGACCTTGTTTGCCGTTTAACGGAGCAATTGCTAAAAAACCTGCTTTAAAAAATCCAAGTTTTTAGCCTCTAAATTCTTCCATTAGTGAGTAACTTCGGTAACTAGAAAAACAATTGGCGTAGTTTTGAGACAAAATACTTTGTGAACAAATTAGTTTCTCTTTACTAGAAAACAGAGGGATAAATCCGTTTTTCAACTTGAATCTCGTCAGACATCGAAAATTACTTTTTGCTGTTTACTTCGTTCCAGATGTTGAGATAAAATGCTTGGAAAAGCTATCAAAATTCAGTTAGCTTATCGACATTAACACAATAAAATCCCAATAGGATATTGTTTATTTTATACCAAAATGATTTTCCAAGCCCAAAGGCTATTGTTTATGTTATCAACCCCATGCAAGATTATTTAATACGTACGAAGTAGTATTTAGTTCTCACATAAACTTGGAAGTTATGAAAACAGTTTTGAGATCAAAAGTGAACCTAGCCAGACATGACATGAATAGTTCCATAGTCTTTATGACAACGTAAATGAAGATTATATTCCAATCACCTAGGACGGTTAGCCGCTTTACGTTAATCAGTGTGAGCATTTATTATATTTCTAAATGGTTTCTTTGTCGTTCAGTTGCTAAGTATGTTATTCAGTGGGCCGAGTTTATCATCACCTTTCGATTGATTCATGCTATGAGAGTAATATTCACGATTCCAGTTGAGACTGTCTTTAATTCTTGTTATTTTTTACGTTTTAATTTTGAGTTCATTGGCTTTGATTGAGTTTCAAGTAGGCTTCCTAATTAGGAAATACGAGAAAGAAAGAAAGAAAGAAAGAAAGAAAGAAAGA